TATTATTTTTTAATCCAGCCAAATGATAAAATAATAAAATAATTCTAATTTTAAGTTTTTCAAGTGTTTTAGAATTAGAATTTTCTGATTTTAATGTATTATAAAACATTAAACAAAATGATTTTAAATTGTTTTTATCCAACATATCCATAAATAGATTTGGATTTGTATGTGGTGGATTTTTTTCAATATATTGTTGATTATATAATAAATTTGTTAAATTTGTAATATTATCATTAAAAAATTTAGAAAAAAATTCTATATTTGAATTTTGTTGGACATATTTTAAATCTTTTTTTAATTTTTTAATTTTTTTATGATAATTATTTTGTAATATTGAAATTTCTGTACTATGATTTTTTTTTAAATTTGAAATTTCAGCATAATAATTGTTTTGTAATATTGAAATTTCAGCATTATAATAATTTTTTAAATTTGAAATTTCAGTATTATAATTATTTTATAAAATTAAAATTTCTGTATTTTTGATATTTTTGACATTTTCCACTTCATTTTCTAATTGTATAATATTTTGTATACATTGAGTTTGAATATTTTTTAGATCTTTAATTTCATTTTCTAATTCTTATATATATTGAATTAGATTATGATATACTTGTGGATCAATAGAAATAGAAGATTATGAATTCATTTTATTAATAATTAAATTGTTTTTTTTAAAAAAAAATGTATTTTTTGTTGTTGACGATATATAATTAAGTGGATCAGCTTTGCTGACTTTAAAAAAAAGGGAATAAATTAAAAATAATAAGAAACTATTGTATTTAAATACTTTTTTTAATATTATATTTTTCATTTTATAAACTCCGATTTATCTAATTTCGTTATATAAACTCCAAAATTATCTAATTTTAATATACAAACTCCGGATTATTTATAAATTTCGACGAATTATCTAATTTCGCTATATAAACTCCGAATTACGTATCTAATTTCGTTATATAAATCTAATTTATTATAAACCGCAGATCATGATTTATATATATAGCCGGAAATTTCACTCCACATGCGCCATGTGCATATTTGTAGGGACACTGTACGAGTGGCGCAAGGAGATGCATTTCATGCGGCCGAAAATAGGAAAAAAAACTCTGCTGCATTTAGGGAGGTCTCTCTGTATTTATATTTAAAATAAAAATAATATTATATTAACATTTTTAATAAAATTATTATATAATGGATATTTTTTTTGATATTCAGTAAATTGAGTACATTATAGAAATTTTTCATTTAAATAATAAAAAATATATACAATCACGATGTATTGTACAAAATAAAGAATCTTTTAATTTAAGCGATAAGAATGCCCAATAACGATTATTCAAATAATTTATTAGACGTGGTATATAAATAAATATAAAATTAAGATTAATTTCTTATTTAAGCAAATTACTAATTTCGCTTAAACTTAATTAACTATTTATTACGTATGTAACTTTGATACTGCAAATATTAGTCTTCAGATATGTACAGACGACATTCGCAATTATTATTAGAGATCTTTGAAATTGATGAGGATATAGAAATTAATTAGTCGACACAAGTAGATTACTTTTGTTAATTAAACTTGAAAGACGAGCAGCGTGCCCAATCATGCAATCCAAGTAGCAAAAATGACTTCTGAATCTATTTATATATGTACAATTGAACCTACGAATTATTCCTTTCCCACTTCCTATACTAAAATCGTTGTCCCCCGTAAGGTCTACATAGACTTACAGAACACCGACCTCCGTGTTCATAATCATGTAAGTATCAAAATCCATTTGTTGAACACAATCCACCAGGATTAGAGTCAACAGAACAAAATTACTCTCCCTCTTCCTATATACTACAGCCATAATCGGTGATTTTCAGTGAGTCAGTCACCTTCGGATGACATATTTAACTACACTCTTTACCCTTCTCACCATACCTCTTTCTTTTTCATCCTTCTCCTTCCCACTTTTCTTATCCCCACGTCCCAAAGTTTGTTTTTTCACATCAAGATTCACGGCAACTTTCTCACCGTCATCCTTACGCTTTCTACTAAACCTCACAAACATGTTCTTTTTCAAGATAACTTTCGGAATCATGCTTCCTTTCAGATAATTCTTGGGA